ACGATTTCTAACATCGTGGCATCATTACTTTTTGCTTTTTTGCCTACAAATTGATGTTTTGCTGGTTCTCTCAAAGCTATCTTCTAACGCCCGCTTATAAACGATGTTTGTCTACAACCGCTCTTGAAGCGAAGCCCAAACGTCGCGTGAGGATTGATTGCCATTAGGCGTATCCCTCCACTTACTCCAATCACCGCGATGTTTCCTTGCTTTTCGCCTCTGGTTAATGAAACTTTTCTGTTTGTATGGACATGGGCATCTCTCCCGTCAGGTATTTGGCGATGTTCAAGCGACTGTTTGTTGTTACATGTAGGAGGCCGACCTCATTCAATCAGCATGGAGGTTGTGAAGATAACCAACATCTTCGCCAGGATGATGGCAGGAATAAGTATAAATCCTCGCCTACCTCTCCTACGAGTTTCTTCTAAGATATCGCGAAATCTATCTTGACGTCTGTAATTCAAAATGGCGACTCTCGATGCACTGCGTCTCGCTCTGCAGCGACAAATTCCCGAAACTAACTCTACTAAGCCTCTTTCCGAAGCTGAATACGAAGAAGGCTTCGACCTGTTCCGGCAGCATCATGGCTGGACCAATTATCAAGACTTTGTTATCCCTCAACTGTCTCGCTTACTCGTGCCTCAGTTGCAATCCCGTACCCGCATTTCATTTCTTGAGATCGGCCCTGGCCCGAAGAGTGTTCTTGGATATCTACCCACTTCTATGAGACGAAACATTACGAAATATACCGCCTTTGAGCCCAACAGCCGCTTCGTCCGCCATCTGGTCAAAGACCTAAATCCAACAAACGAGAACGCACCCTTTCCTTCTCTAAAAGCTCTATCTGTACACGAACTACCGTTCACGACGGACACCAAAGTCGACGAAAAGTACCATATCATCATCTTCTGCCATAGCCTGTATGGTATTTCCTCAAAGGAGGACGTCTTGAGGCGTTCAATCAGCCTACTTGCTACCGACTCGGATGGTATCCTTGTAGTCTGTCACCGCGATGGGGCGCCGCAGATCAGTAACCTTGTCTGCCACCAATCGTCTTTATTTCCTGACGGCGTTGTACGTATCAAGGACAACGATACTACCATCGACAAGTTCGCAAATTTCATTGCTGGTCACACGGTCGAAGACCAGGAGGCAAAGGCGTCTATGAGCATCAATTTGCGCGAGGTCTGCCGTGCTTTGGCTCGTCACGACAACGATCATCCAGGTTTCCTGACATTTGCTGCCCCCGAAATTGTCATGACCTTCAATCAACACGCCAAAAAGCTTGACGAGTTGACCGATCAGGTCCCATTGGTCACAGGGAACATCAAGACCAAGAGTCGACAGGTACACTTTCTTCCACCAGCCGCTGTCGTTCGGCCGACAAAGATGAAGCAGGTCCGAGTCTGTGTCGCCTGGGCTCTGAAGTATCAAACTAGCCTGACTGTCGTTGGCGGCGGCCACAGTGGGCACTGTCGCTGGCCTGGTACTGTCTCCATCGACGTGAGCGCCTTCGATCAGGTGCACATCATTCAAGACGTGGGCGAGTTCAACGAGGCTGAGGCATTGGTAGTGGCTGGAGCTGGTTGCAAAACGGGCGACATCGTCCAAGCAACCATGGCCCATAACCTGACGGTCCCGCTAGGTGCTCGACCGAGTGTCGGTGCCGGGCTATGGCTCCAAGGCGGCCTCGGACACTCAATGGGACACCATGGTCTGACATCAGACTGCATCGTTGGAGCTGTACTTGTCAGTGTTGTGTCCGCTCAAGTCTTTTGCGTTGGACATGTACCGAAGCAACACCGACCCCGTGGTGCTGTTCGCCCTGAGAAGGAAGATGATCTGCTTTGGGCCCTGAGAGGGGCTGGCACAAACTTTGGCATAATTGTTAGTGTCACCTTCAAGGCTTACCCGATCTGGTCTTTCTCCGTCACGAATTGGAGAATAGAGCTCTCAGGCAGTGACCGCAAACTCCAGGATGTCATGAAGGCTGCAAAGAGGCTCGGTTCAACATCATCCGCGGATGCATATCTGTACTACGCTGAAGACTAGCCAATGGTCGGAGCCACTCTCATTGAAAGCGCACCACCTGGAACTCGGTGGGACAGGGAAACGTTCAGTACTCCAGAGCTATTGTCACCAGCCCTGGGACGACCCGAAGACACCAAGCTTGTCAATGCAGTTGAACTATTCGATACTGAGATGTACGTTTCCGGCATGCATGGTGGCCAGGGCGGCGGGAAGACCAGTTCTTTCAAGCGATGCGTCTTTCTCAAAAACCTTGAGAAGAACAACATTATTGACATCTTGACCGCGGCACTCAACGGGCGACCCTCGCCTATGTCTTATTTCCATCTGCTGCAGGGAGCTGGCGAAGTTGCAGTCCCTGCGAGTGACGCTACTGCTTTCGGCTGCCGCGACTGGGACTACGCATGTGTCATCACCGGTGTGTGGCCTCGCGAGGAAGATGACACGCCGACTGCGCGCGCAACAATACGATGGGTATATGATGTTGTCGATTCCCTTCTACCAGTGTGCCAAGGAGTCTACAGCGCAGACTTAGGACCTGATTCTCGAGACGTCAAACTTGTGACCCGAGCTTTTGGTCCCAACCTCTGAAAGCTGGTCGGACTCAAACAGGTCTTCGATCCCCATCGGGTACTTCCGTATGCCTGCCCACTCTCGCAGGACATGTTGCCTCAAAAGCTTGTTGTTCTCGTTACTGGGAAACACGCCGCTGGGAAAGACTATTGCGCCAACATCTGGGCTTCTCAGATCAAACGACATAACTATAGCAGCCATGTAGTGTGTATCAGCGATGTGACGAAGCGAGAGTACGCTGAAAGCACTGGTGCTGACCTGAACCGCTTGCTTCAGGACCGTGACTACAAGGAGACGCATCGCGCCAGCCTCTCAGCATTCTACCAAGTTCAGCTTGAGGAACGACCACAACTGGGGCAAGACCACTTCCTTGACGCTGTTGCGAGCTCTGCTGTTGATGTTCTCTTCATCACTGGGCTGAGAGAAGAAGCGCCTGTATCAACATTGTGGCATCTAGTCCCGAACGCTAGACTAATCGATGTTCGTATCGAGGCTAATGATGAGACTCGGAACATACATCGGAATCGCCACATGAATCGGAGCTTTGTCATTCCCGAAGATGCTAGCGAGGTAGAGGATAAGTTCACTAGCTCCGAATATCGACCTTGTTTCATTTTCAACAACAACGTGGATAGCAGTGATTCCATCTTTGCCTTCGCCAAAGACAATCTGCTTCCATTCTTGGCCGATGATCTTCGACGTCTTGCTGGCATGGTCTGTTCAGTGCTGGACTTCCCCCGAGTGGGTATCGAGTTTCGACATGTCATGAACATCTGCTCCCAGGTGGGGGGCATTGCTCTCTGCACGGAACTGTTGAAGAAGCATTATCAGGGTAACTTGAATGCGGTGGACGCCATAGTGAGCTGCGCTACCGGGGGATTCGTCTTCGCCATTCCCTTGGCAGAAGCACTGAACGTACCAATGGTACCAATCTGCAAGGCTGGCAAGCTTCCACCGCCCACGATCTCTGTCGAGAAGGGCAAATCCCATATCTCCTCCAAGGCCCAAGACGGGGTAGGGATTGAGTCGGTTGAAGTCGAATCGGTTCAGATTGATGCGAACGCTCTTCGCAAGGGTGCACGAGTGGTGGTTGTTGACGACGTGCTGGCAACAGGAATAACGCTGCGGGCGACAATCGAGCTGCTAGTCAAGACTGGTGTCAGTATCGAAGATATCAGCGTCATGATTGTGGCCGAGTTTCCTGTACATCTTGGGCGCACAAGGTTGCGAGAGTTCAGAGTCGGCATCCAGAGCTTGCTGGTGTTCGACGGCGAGTACTAGATGACAGAAGATGGGGTATGACATGGGTTGTAGAGGGACGCAATAAGAATAGAATATGTAGACCAGGTTTAACATTGAGAACGTATTGAGGCAGACTTCTAGGTTGACTAGCAATGTGACCTCCTTTATGCATTCTATGATCGTGTGCATTTTCTAGAAGTGGCACTTAAAGGCATAAGAGACGAAATTATCTAGCCACTTTATGCTAGCTTAGACTAGCACTTAGGCTATTTTATTTTAGCAACCTAAGTCTTAAAGGTCAATTCTTCTGTTACCTGGGTACCTGCAAGCCTAGGCTGTCAATCAGGGACTCTCAGGCAGGTGGTTCCCGCCCGTGGAACAACGACAACTGGTTTTGTTGCTGACGAATTAGCCCCTCATATCCCACATGCATATTAAGATGCAACTCTTCCCATTTGACTCTGACGGCGTCCCAAATTAGTCTTCGACCTTTGTGGGCCTGACCCTGAAAGCTCCAAGACTCTCGTCGCAATCCCACCCAACACGTCTGGCGTGAATTAATCCAGGCAGGCGATGTAATTCGAAAACGCTCAGGGACGAACAAGACGAACTAACGTCTGAAATTCCGCTCTTTCCCTACGTGGCCCAACATATGTGCGACGAGGTCGAAGCCAAAATGTGACATACGAACAAAAGTCCGCATGATGTAAAGGCCACATGGCTCGGCCCTGTCGGCGGGACACTCGTAGCGACACAGGTGGAGGCTCTCGAGATCTTTGCAGCTTGCATTATCTGTAGTGCATTTCCAACACAATGCACCAAACAACCCTCTGGTATACGCATCTACACATCGCAATAGTTCCTTGTCGCGTGAGCTCAGTGCGTCTAATGCATCCCTAAAAGTGTCTGTATGCCAGGGCTTGGCAAAGCGAGGCTGCTGGAGCCTGTATAAAATCTCGAATTTGGTGAAAGTCCAGAGCGTAAAATGTCTTTCGGAACCACTAAGATGATCGAGGGTTTTATGATCGGGGGCCTTGTACCCTCGGTCCCAACTCAGTCCAGCAGCGGGATTCGATATCTTCGGTAGGCAGAGATAGACTTGGATATCGCCAGAGGTAGCCTTGCTGATGTAGTCTTCAGCCAGCATGACTATGCGTGAGAAGAAACGCCACAGCCTCGAGATCGCGCTTCGATCCCCGTCCTGGAAGGGGTCACGGTGACTGCTGGTTGCCCACTTATGGATGTAATAGTCAATGACATGTTTTTTCTGATCAATGTATGGCCATCGTACATAGGAAGGGTCAAAGCTATGTGCATCCAAGACGATAAACGTAAGGGCATCTTGCAGAATTTCGTTGTATCTATCGCCGCTGATCAAGCGTGAAAGTGACCGACACCTGACCATTTCCTTGTTGGCCATATATCCATGGAGCATGGCAGGCGAGGCGCGAATGGTATTCTGGATCGTGGTGGGTGAGACGAAATCAGAAAAAAATCTGTACCCGGAGTTCCGCTGGAAGGCTACTGAAGCAATCCATGATGAAGATGTTTTGGCGTGGTCGTTGACGAAAGCCTCGTATCGGCACACTTTTGGGAGAAGGGGCGTCGTGGCGGATGCGCGAGGGGCAGGTGTGCTTTTATATTTATTATAAGCTTTAAGAAATCCTATAAACTTTTCTTTCTGCGACATTGGTAAGCAGGTGGGTAACAGAAGAATTCTCGTCCAAGTCTTAGGCTATAGGAATAAAGTAGCCTAAGTGCTAATCTAAGCTAGCATAAAGTGACCAGATTATTTCGTCTCTTGTGCTCTAGGTGGCTAATTCTTCTGACACCCTGAGGATAAGTAGATTATTTAGGCCTTACATAGCTGAGAGTTAAGCAAATGGGGATGCGCCATCCATCCGCACAAAAAGATATTTTTCTTAATCCTTCTTCTTCTCAATCTTGGGCAAGCCAAGCCAAATACCCAACAGAACCACCAGAATTGCAAGAATAATCGGCTGCAGAACCTGGACGCCCTTCGCTTGCGCAATTGCACCAACGGCGAAAGGGAGCACAGCCGCTCCACTGCCTCCAAACGCAGCAGCAAACCCGATAGCACTAACGTGAAGATGGCGCGGCAGAAGCATCGTTACAGCAACGATCACGCAGGGGAACATGGGTCCTAGGAAGAAGCCCTGGAGGGCAACTGCCACGGCCGACACATGGAATTGCGGCACGAGCCAGAAGACGAGTTGTAGGGCCATGGTGATGGGGATGAAGATGAGAAGGGACAGTTTGACACCCAACTTGGGGATCACCATGCCGAGGATCATGCGTCCCAGTGTTATACCTAGCCAGAAACCCACGGCTGTCATACCTGCGTCGAAGGGGTCGGCATTACGAACGCGTAGCATGAATTGCACGACCCAGCCACCCAGAGCAACTTCCACACCAACGTAGCCGAGGAGGAACAAAGCGCATAGCCAAACGACTCGAGCGTGGGGCATGACGAAAAGTGCAGACCTGGTACCTTCATTACGGGTACCAGCAGCACAGACTGTCTCGCGGTACTTTTGAGCCGTCTTGGGCCAGAATGCGTATGTGAGGGTAGCAGTCTCGAGAACAGCCATGCCCAGCTGTGTCAAAGTCAGTTTCCGTGGCGTAGACTTTTAAGGGTTTGGGAAACTTACAAGGACGTAGTAAAACTCATACCAGCCAAGTTTGGCTTGGGTAATCATGCTGGTCGCAATCAGAGGGCTCACCGTTCCTCCAAGACCATAGCTGGCATGCATAAAACCCAACAGCTCATTAGATCTAGCAAGATTGCCGATATATGAGTTCCAAGCCGCAAGGCCAATTCCGTTACCCAGACCAGCAAGGACATACGCCAGGACCAGCACAGGATAAGGCGGATGCTGGGACAGGATCAGGTATGTAAGTGCATGGCATCCACCGCACATAAAGGCGATCCATCGCTGGCCAATTCGCATATGCAAATAATTGTTGATAGCCGCTGAAACAATGAAGCCAACGAAGGGTGAGAGGAAGATCAGCGAAACGACCAGATACGACAGCTCGTAATATGTCTCGAGGTAAGGGATCAAGGCACCGTAGGCTGCATCATTGGCGCCCGAGACGAAAAGACTGAAGAAGACAGCTCCCACTCGAAAGGCGTTGCCAATTGGCTCATTCCACTTCTCCACGACAGCAGCGGCTCTGGGTGGGATCGCTTCATCGTCTGCGGCATTAGCTTGATCTTGATCTTGATCTTCATGGTGAGATCCAAGCCGACGTCCAGCCGAGGATAAAACAGGGTTCGGCTGTTTCGGAACTTGACGAGAGAAATCGAGAGTTTCCAGCTCTACAGCCTGTGTTGGATAAGAAGACGACGCCATTGTGGATGAATTGGGCCTTTGAAGGTTGAAGAATTAGCTCTGAGTAAAAATTCTTTTTTGACTCATCCAGTTGTAGATGGAGGGCGGGGGATTAGGATTGGCGCTAGCTGGGGTGCTTATCGGAGCCAAGACGTGGCGAATTGGGGGATCAGCATCATCCTGTCATTTTTATTCATCTGTTCTAAGGGTAATTCTATTGGACTTCTTATTGACGAATATCTTCACCAATTGAAGAAAGGTACCGACACTTCTTTTGCAAGCCCTGGCTCGGCTTGTCCATCTTGGTGCCACCACCAGTCTCAAACTTAATTCTCTGCTTGCCCTTCTCAGTCCAAGTCTCCCACTTGACTGACCCCTCATGACGATGCGTGTTCGGGTCCAAAGTTCGGATAAAACTCGACCAGTAGCCCTGAACAACTGGGATGACAGGACCATTCTTCTCGCCGGGAAAGTAACTCTTTGGGGGACTGTTGTTACCCAATCCGGGTCCGAAAATAGCGTTCAGCTCAGCGACGTGAGGAACGCCGAGACCCTCGGCCATCTGATCGGGATCTTCGACATCGTACCAGTAGTTCCAAGACTTGGATACACCATGCTCAGCAAGAGCATTGGAGATGTACAGTCCGGGGCACATGTATCGCATATCGCTGTAGGCAGTGCTAGCTTGTCGCCAATAGCAGCCGGCATTGGGGCAAGTGTCATTCTTGTTAGGGTAAAGGTCATTGATCTTGCCGAGCTGCTCCAGTGTCAAGAATGGGAATTGGGCCTTGAGGAACTCGTCGCTATCGGCGATGCTGGCGGCATCTCTCGGCGCAAAAGAGGTTCCACCGTTGGTGTCGTCGCCTGTGATAAGAGGGACCTTAATAAACTTTCCCTCGTCGAAAAGCTTGTAGGTAAGGTCGGGGACCAGATCATCGTCGAGGGCAACAGTCCACATGAACAGAGGCGCCTTGGAGCTGCCTTCGTACGGGATTCCCTTGTTCGCCTTCTGGATCTCTTGGGGTGACCTAGATCGGATGCAACGCAGAACGTCCTTCTTGGAACCAGCACATCCGAGACGGATGGCCAGATTGTTGTACTGGTAGGCTGACTCCTTGGCAGTCAAAAGGGTACCAAAGGAGATGGACTCGGCCGCCGCGCCATGGAAGAGACCCTCGTCCTTTCCTCCGTAAGCGCTGAGATGAAGACTGACACTTGCGGCGCCGGCAGAGTCGCCCCCAATGACCACATGATCCGGGTTGCCGCCGAATTTAGCAATGTACTTCTGAACCCACTTGAGAGCCTTGCGTTGATCATGGAGTCCAAGGTTGGGCGTAAGAGCATCGCCATCGCTGAGGAATCCATAAACACCGACGCGATAATGGATGCTCACAACGATCATGTCGAGATCGCCAGCCTTGACAAGACCGGTTCCGTTGACATTAGGGTTGGCATTCGAGTTGAAGCCGCCACCCTGGATGTAGAAGTACACGGGAAGCTTCTCGTTGTTTGAAGCGTGTGTTGGAGCCCAAATGTTGAGGAACAGACAATCTTCGTCTTCAGTGTCGCCAATGACCTTGGGATCGCTGCCGGTACCAATGCAAACAGGCTTGCGCTGTCGCTGGCGTTAGCTCAGAATCCATCATCGCCTATCTTTGGAATTTACCTTGGTAGCATCCTGAACTGCTCGCACGCGACTTGGATCTTTGGGTAGACTCCATCTCAAGTCTTTGACTGGTGCAGCACCATATCGTACACCAAGCCATTCTGAGACGCCATTTCCGAGATCTTTACCCTTGTACTTGCTATATCCGAGGTCCACTGTAGAATCAACAGCAACAGAGGGCAAGACCAGCGCTACAAGCGCCAACAGGCGAGACACAGACTGCATGATGAAGGATACTGCACAGTCGTATGACATGAAGAAAGAGAACATCATGACAGTTCATATAAGCCAGTTTCGGCGCTCAGAAGTTGAGTCCGCTCTCGGCGCTTCACCGGCGCTTTATTCCAAGGTTGCTTGGGTCCATTTCAGCTTTTGCCTGAATTAGAATCACGAGTCGGCGACCATTTTGCTGTATCGGGTCAAGTTTGCAAAATCTGGGGTAGCGGTGATGAAATGTGTGGGGGACTGGGGAGACGACCAAGGACGAAGCTCTTGAAATGGCATGGTCTGCCCAGCATTGAGGTGTTACTAAGCACGGATCAGGTGTTATTCCGCCTAGTGCATTACACACTTGATCAACTTGTGTTAGCTCGTCGTGATATGTCGGCAAATGATTCCATGGTTTGCCGAGCCGACGACAGGTACCATTTATTTTTAATTGCCTGCTACTCGGGGTTTGCCTGTGACACATCTGGTGATAAAGATGCCCGCAATGCGTACTTGATAAAACAACACTTCTTTTAATTGCCTGAACTTTAGAAGATGGATGCATCAGCACTTGTCATTTAGCTGTGGCTTACTGCAGGACCGGCACTTGGAGAGAAACCATTGTTGTGACGCCGGAGATCTGCTTATTCTTCTGAATAAGACCGGTGCAGCTGTCCCATGACTCGGGTGACTGCAAGTGATAGCGTCTTTGATCCCCTCTGTAAGATGACACCATGCTAATATCTCGGCGTGATGAAGAATACAGTATTACTGAGGAGATGTTGTCCAAGGCAAAAGGCTTCATGTGTATGACGGATAACATAACTCATTGCATAAGTCATCTCCAGAATGATAGGATAGACGTATAAAGTTTGGCAATAACTGGCCCAGTGGAATACAGCAAAACTACTTGAGATCTCCAATACCCCTCTACGTACTTATATTTTGTAACCCTATCCAATTGAAAGGAATGTTACGGAGGTTCTGTTAAATATTACTTTCAGAGTTAAGAACTTTACAAGAATTAATACCATATCTCATGTAACCGTTCGTTCGGTGTTAAGATTTCTAACTCTTGCATTAAATTTACCAGTGTCAATCAAGAACAAGCTCACGTTGACTTTCATAAGCATGATAGCACATGGAATCTCAGCTAAGAAGAGTCGTATAGCAATGAATTCGAAATAGAAAGCTGCAGCCTCGTACATGTTCCTTGTCTTCTCTAGATGTATGCATCGAAAAGAGACCTTGATCAGTCGTCTAAAATTCGATGTATTGGTGAGTGCGTCTTGAAAGGCTTGTTATCTCAAGAACCTAGATTAGTAACCGACCTTATCGGCCAGTAGCATAAATGTCCATCTAAATTACCTACACACCTCTATACCGAAGTTCATACAGACTATTTACATCGACACTGGCGATAGGAAGACCATTAAGAGTTCTTGTGAAAGAAATCGAAACAGTTGAACATGTACACCGCAGGAATAGAGTAGACAAGTACAAGCCACAGATAAATTACTTTAGACTATTTTAAAGCTTCTTGGTAAGAGTCTTAAATAGAATCTTCATTTTTCACATAGTCAATATGGAGACCCCCTACCTGTTGCCTCAGCTACACACTTATTGAGCAAAAGAAATGCTCCCTTGCTCTTCAGTACAGGCACCCTATATCTCCCCGTCCAACCCCAATCTCGGACTGCAATTTCTGTTAAATTCAGTGGAAAATGCCTCTCTCTGACTTCCTAGGTGGGGTTCAAACAGGGAACCCTGGTGGCCTTAATGATGGAGTGCAGCTTAACCGCTAGTTTACTAGGAAACAAGGGCTTATGATTCTAAAATTGAGCTGTGTTCACTGACCGAAGCATACAGAAGAGGATTTTAAGAGCGTTGTTTTTTTTAACTAATTGAGCGGAAAGATGTGTTGTTTTTATTAACCACGAGGAAAGCCTAGGCGACTAATGCTTGACCAATTAGGGTACTGCATTTGCTGACAGCACTGTCACATGTATTTAAGGTTTTTGAAGGTCAGTCATCAAGTCGTACAGTTCAAATCAACACAATTAAATAACCACAGATTCACTGTCACATGATTTATGACGCGATCATACCGAGCTTTTGACACTGGCAGGCGCGACCCAGTTTATGCATCGGCAGGCGCGGCCTAGTTTATGCATCAACACACCTGCCTTACCATGCGAACTCGCCATGCATCGCGCAACTTCTTTCCTTCCCACAGAGATATTCTCTCGAAATCTTTTTCGTATCCAGAACTTGCGTCGCGCCTCATGTCTCTCAACTTCTTCGCACGCAAACATACCAATCACTCCAAGTCGGGTCCCCTCCTACAACTATATTGAGGGGGTTGAAAGGGCATTTGAATACCGACCTGGAGGCTACCATCCTATCGGAATTGGAGACACTCTTCACCACAGATATCGCGTGGTCGATAAACTTGGGTGGGGCGGCTGTTCAACAATCTGGCTCGCTAGAGATACGACATTGTCCAGATATGTTGCAGTGAAAGTTGGCGTCGCAGGGTCCGACGACAAAGAAGTCGAGATCCTGTCCAGGCTCTCAAACCCTATGGCTGGAAGTGATGACAGAGGTAAAAGTTTGTTCCGGCCTATTCTAGATCGCTTCAGCCTGAATGGACCGAATGGTACTCATCCTTGTTCTGTTGCCACCGTTGCGCGATGCAGTCTTGCGTACTTGGAAGATGATGAGGACCGTGGCGTCCATGACCTCTCAGTTGTTCGATCTCTTGCCGCACAACTGGCGATAGCTGTGAGATACATGCACAAGCAGGGCTTCGTCCATGGAGGTGACCTCCGATCCTATCCATTTCTTTATAAGTTCAAATTTTTAACACAAGTTTTGTTAGATCTCCATCTGGGAAACATTCTTCTCCAACTACCCCAAAGCTTCGACGACATGTCAGACCAGCAGATCTATGACCGGTTCGGCATGCCAGATCCCATAGCGGTCTATCGAACTGATGGTGGGCCACTTCCACCAGGCGTCCCCAGTCATGTTTTCGAACCTCAACCGTCTGATGTTACCGGCTCGAACATCACCCTCCCCGAGTCCAGAATCCTTCTCGCAGATTTGGGCAGAGCGTTTTGTCCTGCACTGGAAAGCCGATTAGAATCTTACACGACTGTGGGGTTAAGGCCGCCAGAGGCACGCTTCGAACCAACAACTTCCCTTTCTTTCGCGTCCGATATATGGGGCATGGCTTGTGCAATCTGGCACATTGCTGGACGAGAGCCGGTTTTCGAACATCTTCTATTTGAAGAAGACGACGTTACGACTGGCCAGGTCGACCGCCTTGGTCCTTTGCCTCCCGAGTGGTGGGAGAAATGGGAGACACGATCACAGCATTTTCATCAAGACGGCACACCAGTTCCGATCAGAACACCGATCACATGGGAACAACGCTTTGAAGAAACCATTCAGCAACCTCGGCGTGAAGAGGGTATGGGAGCATTTGACCAAAATGAAAGTCAGGCCTTTCAAGAAATGCTGAGGGGGATGCTTGTGTACAGACCTGGCGATCGGCTGACCGCCGATCAGGTCCTGAATACGCGATGGATGAGAGAATGGGCGATACCCGAGTGGGAGAAGATTGAGAAGTGATGCGGCATTCTCGATCCCTGTATAACATTGATATTCACATGACTTCGGCCTTCTGTTTTGTTCATGATGATTCCGCTGTATATCACAACTCCGCTTTGTTCAACTCATGTATATTAATAACATCACTCACTATTACCAGACCATACCAGGCATCCCGAGAAATTCCTATATAAGACTTCTGCATATCGACAAGGTCTTTTACTAGTCTCATCAAGTTCTTTGCTGCTATGTAACAGTACAATACCACCTTCTTAAATACCCCAGACTCTAACACAGAATAAGGATAGTGTTTGTGGGGAACCCTGTTCCCGTTTCATGCAGATGCGGCACATCTCGCCCATTATACTTCACATGCGACGCAGTTTGGAGTCGTGAACCTCGGCCGATCGCGAGTTGTCGTCGGCCGGTAGCCATTTGTGGACACAAGTCCAATCGTGCATTGATCTACAGGTCTAAGCACCCTGTGGAGAACCGTGGTCGACGAGAAGCAGGGTGCGAGACCGCAATGATGTTCTGAGACGTCGACCAACAGCATGATATGGACAAAAGCTCGTATTCACATGCCCTGTAGATAAAGGCAAACGCGGAGAGGGTGATTGACGGTCAAGAGAAACATCTATAAATACCATGCCTACTCCCGTGGAATTGATCAGAAGCAACTCTGCAACTCGCAACACAAACCATTTTCTAGATCAGCAATCTCAATTATCACTCATCATGCAATTCACCAAGTTCGTCGCCGTCGCCTTCTTCGGTACCGCCTTTGCCCTCCCTCAGGCAGCACCTACTGATTGCCCTGCGACATCCGCTATCCCCACCTGTGGTGTAAGTGACATAACAAACACCCAAGCATAACATATACTAACAAAGTCCTCAAGGCACCTTGCATCACCTCTGCTGCCGCTGCAGCCGGATGTACGGACATTCCTTGCCAATGTGCTAGCTCCGATATCATCCAAGCTTCAGCTATCGATTGTGTTGTTGGAAACTGTGGATTTTTGGAGGCACTCCAAGTTCAGGCCTCTGCTGCTGCTGTTTGCACTGCTTGTGCTTAGGCAATATGTACCAAATTATACACAAGCACGGAGCGAGACGCAACGAAATACAAGTAGATTCGTCCCGTGAATGAATCCACGTGATCTGGAATCCCACGTGTCGGTGACTGGGTTGTAAGCTAACGAGCTAATAAGCAAGGTATTGCTCGATGAAAGGCCTATTGTATCACGGCACCGCATCAGTTCATTTGTCGAAGGGTCTATCTTTTGCATAGTGCTTTGGATTGGCTATTTGACCCAGGGGATATTTCCGTCTGGATATTGAACAGAAAAGGCTCTTCCGGGCTATCACACCACTCTCTACCTGTAGAGATTCCAACACCTTGAACTCTTCCACAGAGCCTCTTCAATGGTACCAAAGAGGAATACCGAACCGTTCTTGAGTCCCTGTCGCCTCTACCTGAGGAAGTTTAAGATCATCTCTTGCAAAGAATCCGGAGTCCAAAGAAGCTGGGCGCATCTTTCTCTTCCTCAAGAGTCTTTCTAACTAGCCTAACCTCTCAACCAGTGACCCTTCCATAATTCCTCGGATTTTCAAAAGGTCGAGTAGTGCACCTGCTACATCAATCCCCTGCCCCTCGCACCTGACAGGATCTAATAAAGTCGCAGCAACATATTTTCCCGAGGCCGTTGGCATCGATGCCAGGAAATCGTCGAACTCTCCATGTGTTGAAAGATGTGGAAAGCTCACATAGACAGATAGGATGTGGAAGTCGAAGCGTAGCATTGCTGGCCGGAAGATGGTTTAGGCTTGAAATTGAATCTCTCCAACGATTACTCCGACTTCATGCTTCGAGAGGTAGTACTGATGCAGCCCTGGGACGATCTTTGTGGAAACTCGGCATTCTAGATATCATTTCTTGCTGTGAACACGGTCGTAAAAGCCACGATACTCTGAACGTCAGCTTTTCCACGAGCTTCGATGACTGTCTTGTCTTGGTTTGCCTCTATCCTGGGAGAGACAAAGCATCGAGGAAGCCTCATCTGCACCCGTGTAAAGCTATGAAGACATCGTAGAACCTCTTCCTTTCACGTTGAAGCAGTATAATGTTCGGGTTATCTAAGAACGATAGCGTGGATCTTGATGCTGGCTTCGAGGGGGCTTCTGATGACCCGTTGCTTGGATGATGAAGTAGCCAGCCATTTTTTTTTTTCTTTTTCTTTTTACCTTTATTCTACAATGTTAGAACCAAGTTGAGTTTCAATTTGGGAGAGGATTGATCTTTTGAACTACGAGCAACCTACCATGTTTATTGTGCGATTGCAGTTGCGAATCCTGTACGTCCTGTCAATCTACAATTACTAGAAAGTAACGGGCAACCTAGCAACGGAGTTTATCACGTCTACTGGGACACGCAAACTCATATTGGTTCAACTTGAAATACTAGTGGTATTGGTGTATCTATCTAATTTACAGACCAGTCTTCTTCAGGTCAATGACACTCAAGCTGACCTGGTTGGTAGAGCTAGGAGGCAACCATCCACCACCAATGATGAGGAGGAAGTTGTCGTTCTCCTTAAAGGTCATCAGACCACGAGTGTAAGCATTGGGCTGTGGAGTAGCGAACTCGACCCAAGAGTTCTCGGCACCAAGGTTCTTGTTGACGAAGATCTGGCTCTGGCTACCAGCGCTGACAATAATGCTACCGTTGGCACCACCGACAGAGCTCCAGACAACAGTGGGAGAGCTGACAGGGCGAGTGCCCTTGTTGGAAACGAGAGCGATGTCCTTGGCGGCAGCAAAGTTGAGAGGGTCGGCGCTCAGACGGTAGTGGATACGGCAGCCGTCAGTGCCGCAGGTCTCGTAGACGAAGATGTACTGGCCGTTGGGGAGGAGAGTAATGCCGGGCATACCAGGGCGAGCGTTGTAGTTGCTGTCAGCAACGTCGTTGACAAGAGCGGACCAGCTGACGAGGTCAGTCGTGGTCTGGTGAGAAAGCTTCTGGCCATGCTTGGGGTCTCGCTGGTCGGCGTAGTAGCAGACGAGCTTCTCCTTGTAGACCATCATGTGAGGCTCCCAGACGGGAGTCAAGCCGTTGTTAGGACGAGCCTCGCCACCAGAGGCAATAGAGCTGGTGAACTTCCAGGTCTTTCCGCCATCGGTGCTAGCATAGACATCGATCTTGGTCTTGCTGAGGTCGGTGGGGATACTGTTTCCAGTAGCCAGGATGGTGCCCTTGGGCCACTTTCCAATAGCACGGGGCAGCTCATACAGATCAGGCTGGTATCGCAGTCCCCAGCCGTTGACGGTGTCCTGGACCTTTCCAATTTGAGTCCACTTCACACCTCCATCGGTAGATCGGTAGATGGGGAAGTAGACCAGAGGGGGCTCGGGTGAGTAGTTCTCCCAGGTGGAGAGGAGAGAGCCATCAGAGAGTTGGATGGCGCGAGCGTAGAGAACGCGAGGGTCGGTCCATCCGGCGTTGGAGGGTGGTGAGAAGATGACGTTGTTGGAGAAGGTCGAGGTTGGAACGGCACGCTTGACCTGAGAAGGGGGCTCTTGAAGGCCTGAGTTGGCAGTAGGGGCAGCCAGAACAGTGGAAAGACTCAAGAGTCCTCCCCAGAGGAGGGATTGGAAGCGCATGATTGTGATGAGATGCAGATGAGTGGCACGATCTGTACTCTATCTATTGACGATCTATGAGACTCTTTATAGGAACTGTTTCTACGGCTGTAGCCTCGGTATCAGCTTCCCACAAACCATCTCGTGATGATGCCAATACAATTTCGGGCTATCTACCGACGTCCCAAGAGATGCTTAATTGTAGCGCCGGCATATGAATGGTGCGGCAGAAGGATTCAAGGTGTCGTGACCTCTCCGATTCAGGAAAACAGGCCGCTTGTACCCCTGAGGCCTTGCTTTGTTTGCGGGGACCCCGCATAATGGTTATGCTATGTGCGGGGGACGATGAGAAAAAAGAAGTTGTCGCGACTTTTCTTGATTGGGTCGACGGAGAGTGACTCTCCGTATGGGGCTTAGGCCTTGATTTGGGTACAGGGGATGAAGACGATCTTTTGCCTGTTTGTGACGTAGCCCAAAGTATGAAAATGTCTTGGAGTCATGCAGATTGAAGCGATTCAGCAAGATTGGCTCTTTTACTTGGATTAACCCTTGTCTTTTTCTTTCGAGTTGGAGAAAGAAGCATGCGCTCCAATAAGAAGCTTTGTGTCGACGTCTTAACTATGAACAGGCATGCGAAATACATGACTTCATCATCTTTATGAGGCTATGCTGTACCCTGTCAATACCGCTCTGACTTGCTTTCACCGTTGCCAATGTCAATTAAGCTCGTGATTGTGGGAATTGGAACCATCCCATGCAGCTACTGTGGAGAAAAGATGAACGGGTAATGGAAACCCCAAGCCTAGGCCGGAGGTTTTCGAGCGAAACAAAAACAACTAAACACCGTAATGGCAAAAAATGCATCTCACTAACCCTTCAAAGGGATAACTCGACGAGATGTACCCGATTCAAACTACGATACCATGCAGCAAGGCAAGGGTAACAAGAAGCAAAAAGAGCGGATAATAGTGGACTCAAACCACCAATTTTTGGACGAACAGGGAATCGAACCCTGGACCACTCCCAGATTATTCAGATGAATTATGCTAAGGGAGTATTATACCACTAAACCATTCGCCCGCAGCGAGTTTTTATTTGTTGAAAGTGCTCATCGCAAATGGCTTCTATACAGACTATGCTAAAAACTGACTTGGTCTGAATTTTAACGATGATACCTATCGCGGCGCATTTAATGACATTTCCTAGAATTGACTTCTAGTCACAGCTTTTCTGGCTGGCGATAGGCACAGAGTTTTTACAGATCTAGGTTTGCTGTGATTGTCGTCGTTGTTGTCGGTGGTGGAAATGGACGTTGGTAAGGATTGTTGTTCCACAGTATTATGCCGCGCGACATGCATGATGAACTACGCGCGAGAATAATTACATAAAGTTTTATACTGATTGTTATGTTCAAAATTCTCTCTATATGACCTTGTATTAAAGAATGTCTGTATCGTTCTGTTCCTTGTTGAGATCGCGTTTTGTGTCTTGGCCTTAGGGTAAGCTATCTCAAACTTCTACATACCAACCAAACCTGGGAATTAACACAGTTGCACCATTCTGATACAAAGAATGCTCCCTGGGCTACATTGATTGGGTTTACTCCCACTGCTTGAATTGCTGATCATTTCACCGACTCGTCAATACCGAATCGTTTAAGTTAACATATTCCAGTAACGGGCCGTCCAACTCTCGCTTCGACATAAAGACCCGTGCTGACGAACCGAACCAAGATCAGTTCCTTTTCATGGGATTCTACTTGGGCCCAGGCAAACAAAATTAACCTCAACTCCGAGGGTTCCGAGACTCGAGTCGCATTGCAAAATATTACCGCATTAGGCCCGACAGTCCACTTAATCGGCTCGTCAAGGTCTCCAGACTTGAGACATACTGGGTTGTGCTATCAATCCCATGCGAATTGAGACCTCGCAGACATAACTCCCCTTCTAGTGGACACAGTTGAATCGGTGCTTAGTCGTTCCAAGCGATCGCCGGCATATACCACAGTGATCTGCCCAAGTCCAGGCCTCACAGACATTGTGTGTGGACCCCAAGAGCACGGCATCTAGCCCTACAGCGCCATTGCCGCCGTATAGCTCAGGAGTGACAACTCCTCGACTGAAATTCGAGCCTTTACGACGTGCGGCTTCCGGGCGGATGCTGTTCCCGCTCAGCCTCGACCCACGATGCCGTGGAACCACGTGTCGTACAAGATTAGCTCACCAAGCTATTCTCCTAGTTGAGGATCCTGCTGGTCAATGTCATGAAGACAGGCGTCGTGTTGATGGAGATTTGAGTAGGATAGAGTTTCGGTGTCAGATGGAGTTGAGTCAGGGTGGTAGAGCTTCAGAACCGGCCACGAGAGCTCCGCTTACGCAATGTCAAACGGTTTTACTGGCGGAAGCTTCCAGGGCTTCGACTGATTACAAGTCCTCAACATGGCTTCTAGAGCGGTGCTCCGAAGGTCGATATGAACTTGCCAAGTGGATAAACCCAGCACTCTTCATCTGCATCAGACCCTTGTCATCTCTGACCCAGACCCCTGGAAAGAGCAACGTTCTGAGAATGTCATTATGTGTCAATGTCAAGCTACAAACCATAACAATCTCGACAAAAGTCAAACTAAGCCTGCACAGGCCACAGCCTCAATCATGGTCTCAAGCACGAAAACGTGTCGGCCACGTGGGAAATTGAGACTAGAATGGGCCGACTCAGTCTAGAGGGCCTTCTGAAGGGCGGAAGATGGGGACAGGGGACCTTGCGAGTCAGTAGACAAGAGATGGATTGGGTACGCTGTCAACCTTTTTACGTGATATTTAACGGATCAACAGGCTCCGGGTGTTGTATTTTATTCGGATAATTTATCTGTTGTGAACTATCGTTTTCCAGTTGCAGTCGTTGTGTTACCATTGGCTGTTGGCCAACATATTTGGGAAGCGAAACTTGGTTCGAAAAGCGATGATAGTGCGAACCGCAGGAGCTTGAGTTTTTGGGTTTGCTAGTTGCCTGATGAATGAAATGGGTCAAATGTAGGGTCGTCGCATAAGAACATGTGATATCTTGACAGCGAAGAAGGCAATAACTTGTGTGCTAATTACAGACCGCCAGCGCAGGGCATCGTAGACGAAATGATCGTCCCGAAGACAATGCGCATATTCCAGGGTTCCACGTGGAATAATTCTCCTGAATCGTACCATAAGCTCTTTTTACTCCGAGCACAGATCGAAATTTGACCCAGGGGTAGCGGAGCCTCCATCTCATCTCCCACGCGAGAGTGACGTTGCTTAGTTGTTCCCACAACAGCGACATCGCAGCGTTCTTGGAGCTTTATTTAGTTTGCGAGCGACAGTAGTTAGTTCAACTGCAAAACCCCGCCCGTTGAGAAAAACCCTGATTTTAACCCTATTGGCGCAGAGTTGGACTATTCCATAATATCCGGGGGCAGGCAGTGGAAGATCGCCGCATAGTTGATCACCCAAGCAAATGAGAAATGACTAGCAGTGGACTAGCTAGTGCAGTAGAGAAAAAAGATGAGAGCAGGAAGATCGCCTAGCTTCATGTTTGCTGGAACTAGTTAAGCTTGGAGTGGGCTTGTGGGAAAAAAACGATAGTATGGGCGCTTCTGTAGTCTGGGCGAGCGGAGTGGTTTGGCTTGAGAAAAGGCAGAAAAACTGAGGAAACCAATCGGGGATGCCATCTACAGAAAAAATATGAAACGTTCGAGAAGGAAATACGAGTATCAAAGTTTGCCCAATCTGCCCGTCATCAACGTTCGGATTATTCCAGACCTCGGCAATGTTGTATGTATAATAATTTCCAGGTCGGGTTAAAGGAAGATCTCGGAGATGCCCGCTCAAACGCGAATGAGGCAGATTGACGAATGAGCAAAGAGCGGAATTGTCTCGTAATTTGCGGCATCTCATTCCTAGCGTAGCTTTGAGCCTCAAGACTCTAGCTGAGTCAGGGTTGGTCGCTTGAGTTTTGTATGGTCGGGATATGTTTTTCCATCTTTCCTTTACGGCCGAGTCTTGATAGTGTCTCAGCTGGTGGCTTGTTAGCGTATAGCGCTAAGTCCTGGAGCTCTGAACTAAAGGCCGTCAAAATTCGGATCAATGTCTCCCCTCTACTCTCATGTTCGCAAGCGGAACCGCAAGCAGTAATTTGCAGAGTAATAAAAAGTGGACGAGCGGAACCGGGAAGGGTCAGCTCCTTCAATCACAATGTAACATGGTGATCTGCAGTGTCGATCCCTCACTCAATTTTTCAGCTTCTTGACAAGAGGTAGGAGGTAACAAAAGACAACCGGGTTGTCGGTAAGAGTATTGCTTTGTCGGGAGAATAGCTCCTTAGCTGAATGAAATTGCTTTTCAGGATGATGTTTACCGTGGTATTGGGGATCTTTGTAGGGGCCGGGGCTTTGTTTTAGGCGGCAACAAAATGATGATTGGCTCAAGTCCATGTACCAGGACTCTAAGGTGCCGCTGCTAAACCGAAGATGCCCTAGAACCAAACCTTGTTGCTTTCGGGAGTCTCAGAAAAAGGTCAGAGCCAAAAGCCACTGCATAATTCTAGGGTGTACCTGGGAATAAACTTGGGACTCTGACTCTCTTTGCCTGACACGATACTACATGGCATTGCATTGCATGAGATGGCTGGAAGGGTTGAGTTGGGCTGAATCATCAGGGCAGAACCGGTCTGTTGGTTCATCCCCCGTAGCGTCTGATTCTCTTAGCCATCCCGTACACACGGACTAATGGAGAAGCCTAAAGAGCGAAGGAAGGATGGGACGGGGGGCCAATTTACCATGTCGCAACACGTGGATTTTCTTCAGCTAATCTGCATCAAGATCTAGCAAGTCGCGTGGTGTTGCGGCTTGCCATGTGGTTCTCCGCTTTATCATCTCCATAACAGGATTCGCCATGCGCCCGCACGAGTAATGCAGGGCCCCTTTCCTTCCTTTATCATCTCGCGTCTCCGCACAACATCAGCCTCCAAGTCTCGTCTCGTGCCGTGGCAATCTTCATCTTTGATTCGAAAGTGATGCTCGAGACAACAGGCTTCTCCTTGGATAGGCGGGCTTCCACGCACAAACCAAACATGTCCAAAGGAACAATTACACAGTCGTCGTCGCGTTTGCTATGCGCAAACAATGACGATCGACCACAGTCAAAGGTTGGTTACTTCATTCATTTCCCGGATATATCCGGATGTCCTCTAACGACTCAACCAGGACCTCCAAGATCTCTTCTCCGCCCTCCTCGCTAGTCTATTACCACTTGTTCCTCACCGTGTCCGCTTCATCAAGATCGAACATACTTTCCTCGCCGAAGATGCCATCCACAACCTCGGCAATCTCAAATTGACCCAGTCAAATCGCATGCCTGATCCCAACAACCCCTCAGGCACCGTCGTCTCCACATCCACAACAACCTTCTCCATGAACAAGAACACGGCCCGAAATCTCTGCCAACAATTTGTCGACGCCCGCTATATCGAATCTGCCGACGGAAAACCTGATCAGTTGTTTAAGCAAATAGGAGGAGTGTGGAGGCCAACGTCAAAGGGTATCACCATCTTTGACTGGTTCTGTCAATCCAATGGTCTTTACCAGGATCAGCTAAGCGAGCTGCACTGTCTCATCACAGGGCCTCTTTTGTACCTGGAGCGTGACACCAAGAGCGATCTCTGCCATGTGGATCGGGCAACCACTGAAGTTGTCTTTTGTCGACTAATCGGTGTTGATGGACGAGGGAAGAAGGGTCCCTACTCAGAGGGTGCAGTGGGTATCAGACTTCAGCCCGAGCGTAAGATCAATAACCGCACATACCACGACACATTCACCGGTTTGGCAGCAGCTGAGTGGCTACGAGACAACACAACATGTCTCGACCTACGGGAAGCCGTCAACATGGCCACTCACTTCGTTCACTACAACCTCATCGAGTCAGTCAACGCCGACTTGGCCTACATGAACCAGTTCGCCGCCTGCAAGCTCTTCCAACCCACACCCATCTCCATCTACCAACTCTCCGAGCGTGGCCAGGACCTCGTCGATACCAGCTCATCCAGCCGAGGCTCATCACAAGGCAAGACTGACGCCTCTTCATCAAAAGGCGGCGTCAACGAGAGCAACCGTCATAAGCTGGAGAAGATTCTGCTCGACCCCACATTACGTTTACTGTTCCGTGAGAACCTACGTGAGACATACTGTGAGGAGGGTCTTGCCTTCTATGAGCAGGCTGATGTGATCATTCGTGACGCCAAAGCCATGCTCGAGAAGAAGGATGCCGACGATGCAATGAACGAGACCCTATCACAATCTCACGTCATCTTCAACACCTTCCTCGCTCCCGGCTCACCACGCGAAGTCAACGTGAACCATAAAATTCGATCAAGTCTTATGCAGCGTATGACCAAGGCGCAGGCCCTCGACGCCACTGTCGCGGATACCTTGAAGGAGGTGACCGCTTTATTGGAGACTGCCCAAGATGCAGTCTTCAAACTTATGGCTACTGTAAGTTTGACTTCCTAACCTATTCTCACAATGAACATTTTACTAACATCATCCAGGACTCTGTACCCAAATTCCTTAACAACCCCGCCGCCGAAAGCCGACTGGTACAGGCTGGCGTGCGGTAATACGATAACATTTCATACATCTGATGCATTGGAGAGGTTTCCCAGTATTTCAGCAAGCGAGCATGGCTAATATGCCACCCACACTACATTATCCTAATGTTTCTATATTTTCCTATGTCCGGAAAAGAAGGTGCTAGAGGAGTGGAATGGTTGGACATGATTCCCCCACAGAATAGAGATGGTTCAGAAAGAAGAGCTGGATAGAGAAGAGGCATAGGCGCCTGGGTATAGCCCGCATACGTGATGGCAGTCAGCGGATGATCAATATTTTAAACATAGAAATGGCTGAGGCCAACAATAAATATACGTAAAATGTTTATAAACCAAGTCTGCTAAGACCAGTTGCAAGTCAAGTGAGTGGAACGTCTGATGATCAGAAGCCCTGTATTGGTTGAAATATCGACGAGTACATCTCTCTCCTCCCAATATTGGCATACTCTCTTATTCGGTAACCAGACCTTTCTCCAAAGACTAGAGCGGCACAAGGAAAAGGCCCAAATCTAGTCGGAAACGGTATCCAGTGGCCAATACATGTCTCGGCCTTTGATACCCCAATGCCTTACTCAAGCCGAGTCCATCAGGATAGCCCCTCAGCTTCGCTCAAAACTTTCCATATGCTTGCTCAAGAACTCATGAGCCCTGCAAGCAACCGCATCCAGCTCCCCTCCGAGATCATAAAGCCGATCGCAAATTCGCGCGATCTCAGTCTCTAGCTCCTCACACATAGCCTTTCGCTGCTCGACAGTCACACCATTGACCGCAACACCCTGGAGAAGGAACATCTGGTACTCTTCAACGAGTTCCTCGCTTTGCTCCAACCTGTTCCAGGGCTCTCGGCGTTCTTGTCGAAGCCTTTTGGCTGTGGCATGCTCCTCGGCCACTCGGTCTTGGATGTTGTCGGGGACGAGTGTGGACTCCGTAGCTGTGTGACTTGTTAGGTCGTGGACTTTGGCGTCAGGGTTTTAGAAGAATTCTCCTCTAAGGCTTTGCTCATTGTCTTTATGTAGCCTAAGCCTTAGAGGAGAATTCTTCTAAAGCTCTGATATGTGGGTAATGGGGAAACGTACGTGAGCGCCTAAAAGACCGGGCCTTCTTTTTGGTGGGTGACATCCAGCGCGAGGGCTTACGGATACCCTTGGGAGAGCCCTGGTTCGAGATAGAAGGACCCGGAGCAGAACTCGTGAGCTCAGCAGCATCCTTATCGCGGAGAGCCTCAACCTGCTCTGGGGGCAGATCATTGACTGGAGATTCATCAACCTTCTGACACTCCCCTGGGCTCCTGGAGATTACTTACAGTAACTGAGATCCATGCGAGCTGTCCGGCGACGCAAAGCACGAGCTGGTGAATCCTCTTCAATCTGCTGCCGGGCCATTCTTGGTGGTTGTTACAGTGTGGGATCAAAGTATTTTCGGCAAGGAATCAGGAAGAAAGAAGATGAGCGGGAGAGAAAGGATATATCATGACCACCATGATCACTCTTCAAATAATTTAACTGCTGAATAGTCAAACGCTGGTATTGTCAAGTGAGGATGCCTGCAACCCTGCAACCCTACGGCAAACGTGGCGACAGGTTAAAGCGGGGCTATTATTTCCAGTGAGCGATGGTCTATTGCTGACAAACAAGCAGTGAACATGCAATTGTTATAGGTTTGTGGCACGATTGTGTATACTAAGACATGTGTTTGTTATTATTCGGAGTAAATGTTGAATAGGGAAAAGATGCGTCTAAAGGTAACAAAGAGGGATAAATCTGTTCCCGATCTTTACTGTATCAAGTCCTCTGTTGACAAAGTGTTTTCAGCTCAGGCTATGTGTATAGCCCAAGGAGAGGTCTCTAACAGTTAATACAATATGCTCTCTGTGACTTTCTCCCATTGCCACAAATCCGGGATAGTATATGCGTGAAAAGTCTTCTTGATAGCAGCTCGGAGTTTCTTCCTCCTTGCGTTCGTAACGCGTTCTTCGTTAACGTACCCACGATTAAGCAGCTTTCCGTCAGAGATCATGGTCCAGAGCATATCAATCGACTCGTCGGAGCCGCCAAAGATCCAGTATAGCAGTTCAGCGTTTGCCTTTCGCCAACCTTTGATCACGTCGACCACGTAGCCGTCAAATGAAGAAAAGTTCTCCGCTCTCCACCTCTTCCTAGATAGGTGTCAGTCAGTACTTAGGACAAATGGCGTCATAGTGTTTATGCTTACTTCTGCGTTGACATCATGTCGTTGGCTACAGTTATGCTCTGCTCAACTATCGCCATGGTGGCGTTCTGGACGCTATCGCGAGGGCCTTGGTTCTCAGTGTAATTCCAGTTATAAGTGAGGTACTTGTTGAAGAACACCTCTGTAAGATTACCTGCACCCCAAATGTGAAGGTCCTTGGCTGCAGAGAAGTAGGTGTCATCACCTGCCCTCGGAATTGGAGCAGAGTCGTTCCCAGAGTTCCTAAGAGATTGACTTATTTGGTCTGCAGCCTTGCTCAGCTCGTACTCAAATTCTCCGAAAAGCCAATTGATCTCAGTAAATGACCTCCAGAGTAGCTCTGCAGCCGGGCCTGAATCAGTTGTATCCATCTCTTCGCTACACCAGCTCCGGGAACAGACTGCTCCCGCTAATAATCCACAGTCTGGCCTATCAGGCAGTTTGAGGGTCGTGGCGGTAGACGAGGTGAAAGTGGTGCGTTTCGACGGCCTGTCCCGTTCTTTCCAGATCCTGATGGCATCATCCCATGCGTCTTGAGTTTGAAGAGGCTCCCATCCCCGCCACTCTTCGAAAGGGGGAAAATCAACTTTGACGGGATCGGTGCAGTTGTAATCCGTCCACTTTCCCGTTCGGACTTCCATGGGGATGGTCTCGAGCGTTCCGTCAGGTTGGCACACGGATGGACCGGCTGCAATCAGGATACCGGTGATACCAAGTGTGGATCGTGCCCATGTTGAAGTCAGCATGGCGGGCGGCGGATATGGTAGAAAGGCAATATGATGCAATGAGGGTAACAGTCAGCTTACTCAGTGGAGGGAGCGAACTAGACAGCAAATGAAGAAATCAATGATTGAGTGAGTCAACAAGTGAACAAGTCAATGCTGAGAGGTGGGAGTAGGATAAGTGGATGCAGGGCAAAGGCTTTTAGCCACAGCACCCAACAGTCGAATGGCCCTAGGAATCGAAATGCTGTGCCTGGTATTGATATATCAAGGCATTGATATGCGTGCGAATCAGACTGATGTTACTCTTGTCTGGGCAGTTGTTGGGTAGTTGGCCTCAGGGTGTTAGAAGAAACGACCCCGAGATCCTGAGACGAAATAGTTTAGTAATTTTATGCCAGTCTAGACTTGCTTTTAGGCTATTTTATTTTGGCACCCTAAGCCTTTGGGGACAATTCTTCTGTCACCCACTTTGTTGGTTCACCTCCTGCGTATGAATCTCGCTGTTGTCAGAATTCGGCAGGGCTCAAGTGGTCCCGACTGGAGTGAAACCCGTATTTATGTGTAACCCCTGCAGTGTGACAGACAAAAGGACCCTTAAACATGCGACATTCTAGTGGAGACTATCCAGGGTTCGGTAATTGGGCTTGGCATGCGGATATGGTTTTCATGAGGTTTGACCATCGAGAGCATAAGGGACGAGACTTTTATGTCCTTATGCCTTCTTAGGCTAAAATTTAGTATCAGGAATATGTCTTGATGAAAAGATTACATGAGTGTATAGGTATAAACAATGACCCCCAACATGAAAGCCAAACAAGTTGCCCCTCCCGTAACGACTCGAAGGGCCGTACTCTCCAAGTTTTCCCTCCAAGTCTTACAATCCACTCCATCAGGCTCATCTCCTGGCCAGCTGCACTGCCAAGAAGTCATTGTAGCATCGATACTTGATATAGTTGCAGGGTCCAATGTGTCTGCGCACCTGTCTGCCTCGACTAGAGATTGAGGCACGATACAAGAGGACCCTACGAAGTCAACATCATGCGCGTCGTCGAATATTGGAAACTTCCATTCTCCAGTGTCGATGGAGAGTCCGATAGGATTTGAGCAAGTTTCGTTGTTAGTCGCGTCAGCAAGATCAACTTGCTTCAAGGGACCTTTTGTGGTGAAGACGACTGTGCCAAGAGTGGTGAAATTCCTCCTCATCCTAACCCGTTCGTCCAGATCACGCTCCCTGGGAGACTGCATATAACAGTTCGCCCAGCGAAGATGGACGGATAGTTCCCATGTACCCTCAGTGTTAAAAGGATAAGAATAGTAGTCGAATTCAATGTGTGGGTTACTGCTAGAGAAGTTGACGAAAGGTTTGTCTCTAAGCTCAGCGTGGATAGACTTGTTGTAGTTGCTGGGGTTCCAGACAGTATAGGAGATAATAGGCTCGAAAAGTGGTATCATCTCGGGGTTCCCGTAGGAGAATATGATAGGGAACATCGGCGATGGGTTGTATGTCTCATTGCGTGGGAAAATCAGATCAATCTTGAGGGGGGGACTGCCCCTAGTCGGGTCCCTAGCTGCTATTTTGCGAAACATAAGGAAGCAGCATACCAAGAAGGTATACGGTATGTTTGAAATGTGCATGTTGATGGCGTGCGAGGAACGATAGCATTCATGGACAAAGAAAGACATGATCGGGTACTTGTAGGCACAAATATCCAGTGTTTTACGTATGGGATTTTTCTGGCATGATTGGCGTACCTGCCTGGCCGTGTTGTCGGCTTGGTAGTTGTTGGTTAATCGATGTTGGTTGTATCCAGGGGCTTGGCCATGCAGGGGTATTGTGGTATAACATTTTAGTATGAAGAGGCAATCGGAGGATAAGCAACGGGACGACTTTCTGATCAAACAGGTCATTCCGTAAACAAACCCAGCAATCTACTTCAAGAAAGCAGTAAAATATCCACAGAGCAAGCGATAGCTTCACCATCGAGGAGCAGAGCGCACCCTGTCTGTCATGTTATTAGTAGCCGAGTCTTTCGAGGCACCCTGCCAGTCTTGGCTCGATCCACTCCCCACGCCGCAGGTTTCTACGTTGCAATACTGACCAACGTAAACGGGTGAGCAACAGGAGAATTCTGTTGTAAGGTTTGAACCGTCAAAACAAAGTAGCCCAAATGCTAGCCTAACTTCAAATTCTTCTGACGGCCTGATGGTAACGTTGCTGTACCTAAAGTGAACGTTCTGTTTTAGAAAGTCTGTCAATGTTGAGCCTCGCCCTCTGAATTCTTTACCATAGCCTCTAAATCCTTGAAAAAGCGTGGGTGAGCCTCAAAAAGCTTTATGGCATCCTTCCCGTCGATCTGAACAAGCTGTTCAACTATCTTAGCATGTCGTTACTCCCTTTCAATCGCCATTACGGTCTCACTATCCTCCTGGACCTTTTCTTCCTCGTACTTAATCCTTCGTGACAGCTTTTCAAGCACTCTAGATATTTGTTCCTTTGAGTGTTTATATTCTTCTGCGAATAGTAATGCACCCTTGTGGCGTGCCTCGAAGTTGGCCAACGTTTCCCTGTAAGATGCCATGTTTTCGGGCGCTGGTTTGATACTGGCTGGCATCTTCTCGGCAAGGCTGATAAAGCTGATGATGTTGTCCGCCTCACTACGAATCTGCAGCGCATCTTCATTGGCTTCATCGTAGTCATGGGTCGCTACTTCCAGGGCCTCTTTCCATCTTTCCGCCCGCTGATTGCACAGTTTCGACACTTCTCGGTGCCAACTCGAACGAGTTTTGGCTTTTTGAATTGCCTTGTCCAGAACCTTGTTGCAACGCTTGGCTATGTCGTGCTGTTCTTTGCGATATTTCGATAGGGACATCGGGAGCAGGTCTTGTTGTGCATCGTCGCTGCTGGACTTGTCATGAGAGGTGATCTCTTCATCCTTACGGGGAGGAGTACCAACTTCGTTGTGTGGCAAACCTGGTGGCGTCGGAGGAATATTACATTCTCTGGATGGTATAGTTGGCGTCATGTTACAGCCGTCTCTCGACTCTCGAAGGTTAATAACTGTCTGAGGGCGATAAATAGTTTCTGTGATACCTTGAGCTGTCCTTTTGTCGCGTCAAGTTTTCACTGAAACTCGAGGTTAGAAGAGTCATTAATGGAATGAAGGCGACTTGACCTGAAGCAACTATACTTACAGCAAGGTCGATGGATGGTCCATGAGTAGCGTTACTTCGCGGTTCGCACGTTGCCGGGTTGATTGAATCAGCTACCCTCGCTGAAACTAAGCACAAAGTTACTCGGCGGTATAGGAAACGGTGGTGCCAGTTGCAAGTTTCCTTGCGGGACCTATGATCCTGCCTGGGCTGTCAGGTGGGTAATAAAAGAATTATCCTCTAAGGCTTAGGCTTCCGTCATAAAGTAGCCTAACTGCTGATCTAAGATAGCATAAAGTAAACAATTATTTCGTCTCTTATGCCTCTAAGGGCCAATCCTTCTAGCACCCCGATGAGGAGTTCCCGAGGGCAGCTAACAATACGTTGCTTGATGCAGTATGTCGCTTTGTGCGCGCGAGGGCGAAGAGTGTTGAAGATATATTCCTCGACCATTGTGATGTCATGAACTGGTCCGGGACAAGTATCACCGCCATTCATGTCGCGTCAACCGTTGAGCCGCCACCTTCAAAAATTACTTGCTGCGTAGCAGAAAGTTGTCTACTGAGCGTTAGGTTGTCAGAAGAATTGGCCGCTACGAAAACAAGATGTCAAACAATTTGATGACTTTGTTCCAGCTTGAATTACCATATGGACTACTCTGTCGCTGTATCCTAGGCATCAGGAACCATTAAATCTGTCCTACCTGCTATGGCAACAAAGATATGACCGATATTGTCAAGTAGTGTCTACATGTCTGCAACATGACGACCCGACATGGCATCATTCAGATCATAGTTGTTATCTATAATATCTTCCTCAGGCCGCACACCCTTGACCTGACAAAAGTTGCCCTTGGTCCCCGTACATTGAATCGAGTCAACCTTTGTCTTCTCATACTCAGGCTTCAAGGTATCCTTCCGGAAGTGGTCGGGCTCCTGTAGATTTTGTTCAAAGTATCTGTACTTCTCTCGCGGCGTGTTGAAATCCCAATCCTCGCTCACTCCCTCGCCCTTCTCAAGCCTGATATCATCGATGGAAACCTTGACGGACTTGCCCAATCCGATACCCTTTTCACAGACAACAGAAATGACCAGGGGTGTTATTCCCACCGAGGGACCGATTGGTACAGTGACCTTCTTGTAGCGGTTGGGAACGACAATTCTTGGATCAACATGGGGGTCGACGAAGAAGGGAAATTCTACTCCGAGGTCGTCTAGTTGCATTAAGATGAAGCATTGGTGTTTTGGTCCGACCCCCTCCATTTGGACGATCCGGTAGTGGAATGTCAGATAGTAGACCATGAGTGGTTCTACTTCTGTGAGGTGGACAGACCAGACTTGTGGTCGTTGGTCTGGTTTGGTGATAGTAAACAACCTTGAAACCCTCTTAGTACGTAAAACTTCAAATGTAGTTGTGAAACTTACAGGGAATTCTTGCCTTTGCGAGACAGCGATTCATCTTCAACAACCTCAACACCATCGCCCACTATGTGCCACGGCTTACCTATATTCATCTCGAAGCTTGGATTGGGAACAAAAATCTTGGGTCCCTTCAGCTTGCCGTTCCTCTCCATCTCCCACTTTTCAGGGGACTGAGTCGTTCCTTGTCTGTGCCAAATATGGTATTCATCCTTCCCTTGGACGTTCTCATTGTGGCCCGTTTCGGGGTGTTCGATGAAATAGTTAAACTTGTGAACCGGTTCATTTTCGCTGGCCATTACTGCTGGCAGCAGTGTTAAGGCGAGGTAGAAGAACTTCATACTGGCGTAGTGTTAGGCGACTATCATGAGAGGAAAGTATGTTGCGGTTGTATTGTGCCGTGTTGTTGAAGCGAGGGACGGCCGTAGAGCGTTTTCAAATCGGCTTGACGTTCCAACTCACTATGTGTATTGGTGAACGACTGTGAGCGCAGCCGAAGGCTATAAATATGGGAAGACTTGGAGAGTACGTGGGCCATCCATCGAAATTCATACCTAGAGTAAAGTCAATAAGAGAAAATGGATGGTGGTTCGGAAGAGGGGTCGAACGTAATGGATTATTTGACAGCTTTTTACTTGTCAAGAAACGCCTATAGAAGACAGGGGACGCCACCACCGACTGACTATCGGCGTACAGCAACCCAATCTGGTCTCATGCCCTTCATACCCGATCAGACTTGTGACCTTGATTATACCCCATGATCATGATGGCCTCCTCCTCAACACTCAAGACTTTCGTGTTTGTCGTTGTAGCATTGTTATTGTCCATGGTCTCAATGCTTTCACGCAGCCATTTGAAAGCTTCTTGCAAACCATCTCCTGTATCAATATTTGTACCAAAGAATGCCTGCGAGACGTCAATAGAGTTAAACGCCTATCACAAGCCCTAGAACTCACATATGATCGGTCACTGAGTGAAGTCGGCGTTTTTCCAAAGAAGCGCTTTCTTACACTATCCATATTTTCCATGTCCTGGAATTTGATCAGCCAAGGCCTGTTATGCCAAGTGTATTAGCTCACGGTGTGATTACGACTGTTGGCCAGTATGAGGAGTTGTATATCCTTCTGTACACCAGCTTCATGTGCAATCTTGCGAACCAACTCTTCTCTCGACTCGATAAGGTAATCATGATCATCTGCATCAAAGACCCAGATGACTGCATTCGCTTGATTGAAGAATCTTGTCTCCATCCTACGGTGTCCACTCGGCCGACCTCCGCCTACATCCATGACATGAAAGGTAACGTTGCTGCATCTGTAGGTATCGATATGGAGACATGTAAAGACAGTGAATCGTGAAATATGTTTGTGATTGGACACCATGTGTTTCTCAAGGAGAGCTGTCTTTCCAGTGCCATCAAGACCGCTAATCAGAATTCGATGGTAATTCGGCAGATTGCTGAATAGACTTGTGAGGGGAGTTGGTGGATTGTCAGTGAGAATGCCAATCGCGGCAAGGACATTGCGGGCATGTGAAATCAGGCCAGACATGATTGTTGATTGCGGTTTCAAGCCTCGTACTTCAAGTGCAACAATATGACATGATGTAAAGTATTAGATTGATGCCTGATTGGTATTGTCCAGGCAGCCTCTTTTCATCTCGGTGTCACTTTTTGTTAGCGTCTGCTTACTGGAAATATTTTGGTGGAGCACCTAAGCCCAGCGCTGTGAGTGTTTGGCCTGGAGCCATTCCTATTGGTTGGGATGCGAATCAGTAACGCAGTCCCGTTCGCTACAACGCTGTGTCAATCTCGTATTGTTTGGCAGCAAATATTCTACACTCATCAAGACAGTCATCCTTTCGTTGTTTGTGTTGCACAGTGACTCTACGTGAGTCACCGGCATCAATCGCGGGGTGATTCTCGTGATGTCATGATGACTCAGCACTGATCACCCACTGCCCTTCCACCAAAAAATAAATCTCCTCCACATTTCCAAGCCTCAAGCTGAGAAGCTCAACCGCATCCCTACATTCCCCTCATTTTTCTTATCCTTCATCATGTTCAAGCGCAAGCCCGACATCAGAAACCTGGCACCCTTGCGCTCATCAGATCGCCGAAAACTCGCCGACCAAATTATCCGCGACTACCAAGTCCCCCTCCCTGAGCAATCCGACGACTCGTCATCGAGCTCACAGTCGACATTGCGCAACTCACTTTTGCCAGATTCTACATCATCTGCGCGCTTTCTCACACCAACCGAGCAGGGAACCGTGTACATCGGTGCTCACCCAGATCAAGATGAGCGCGTTCTCTGGTTCCAGACGGGCAAGAACCCCCGCTTGATACCGACTGTCTACACGCTGTGGCGCAACCCTAATCTCATTCCTCTTCTACATACGCCCGACTTCGTTGTTGAGGAGAAGCTGAAGCATGGCGCTGATTTGATGGTCCCTGGTTTGGTGAAGGCTAAGAGCTCCGCCTGGGACAAGCGAGCGACCACAGGTGCTGTCGTGGCTGTCGCGGGCCTTGACAATGACACTGTCCCTGTTTGGGTTGGAACCTGTCAGATCGATGTACGCAATCTACCTGACGACTTGAGAGGGCAGAAGGGTGCCGCGATCAAGGCTCTTCATTGGGCTGGAGACGAGTGCTGGAACTGGAAGTCCCTTGGCAGTGGAGGTATTGAACCACCTTCTAGTCTGGAAGGATGGCACGGCCTTGGTGCTGGGCTAGCAGCTCAACTTGGCAAGCTATCTCTGGAAGATAACACCCAAGCAGCGGAGCCATCATCGAACGCCCAGCCCGAGGAGACACAAGCAGCAGACGAGGTCGATGAGGACCAAGAACCGACAACACAAGAAATCGACAACGCTTTCCACCAAGCTTTCCTCTTTGCATGCCACAAGGCAAAGGAATCCGGCAGTTCACCTCACTATGGGCTGAACTTCCCACTCCAACCCTCATTCATCATCGCGAACATGATCCAGCCCAATCTCCGATCACAGAGCCGGCATTACAACATCAAGAAGACATCCTGGAAGAACGCGAAGAAGTTCATTAAGGAACTGCACAAGCAGAAACTTGTACTGTCGAAGGACCGAAACGGTGGTGAGACAGTCATTCTCGATATCGACTTTGACGATGCCCAGATCAACGGCTTCAGACCATATCGACTCCCGACACCAAAGCCTACCGCCGCTGATTCTGGCCCTTCCAATGAAGGGGCTGGACAATCAACAAGCAGTGGCGCGTCTTCGGGGAAGATCAACGTCCAAATGGTCTACCGTCCAGCATCGAAGCTTGTACCCACTCTCCTCCCGTCTAAAACCGATTTCTACAGCGCGCACGAAATCTCAGCAGCGTTGAAGTCATACATCGACCAACACCCCGAGCTGGGCGGTCAAGGAAACTCCAGCGTCAAGCTCGACCCATTCATCGCCAATGAGATTCTCGGCAACAGACCAACCGACGATGATCGGAGCTGGCTTGCATCAGGCCGCATCACTAGAAGCGCCCTCCAAAAACGAGTCCTCGAGGACACTCACCTCTGTCAGCCATTCCACCTCATCTCACAGGGTCGCCCTTCACCGGATCAAAAGCCCAAAGCTGGATCACCACCTCGAATTCTCATTACAATTGAGAAACGAACCGGGACCAAGGTCGTCACCAAAATCTCCAACCTGGAGCCATTCTTTATCGACTCTCAAGTCCTGGCGCCTGAGCTACAGAAGAAGTGTGCGGGGTCCGCGAGCGTGGGTCAAGTCGCTGGCGCCAAGCCTGGATCAATGGAAGTTGTCGTGCAAGGTGACCAGCGAAAGATTTTCACCAGCGATATTCTTGGCAAGAGGGGTATCGACATGAAGTGGGTGGACATTGTGGACAAGACGAAGCCTAAGAAGAAGAAGTAAATAGTAGATTAATTGACATTTGATCTACCAAATGACTAAAAATACAGTGTCGCATTGAGAGAGGGTCTGTGATGATTGGTAGTGGAGACAAAAAAGATGCAAAAACATGAGGCACACCCGATTCGAACGGATAACCTTCAGGAATCACCGGCGGACGTTCAAGGCGAACCTTGAACTTGTGCTGGAATCTGACGCGCTACCGTTGCGCCAGCGCCCCATTTGTTGGAGGAGAGAGTTTCACCTTTGCTTTATAACCTCACGCACACAGCGAGCCCACTTGAACCTCGGTTAACCTGAAGACAAAGAGCAGCAATTAATTTCATCCTGAGCAGTGAATAAATGTCTGTTTACAACAATACATTCTAATGTTATAAATACCGCCTCTTGCATTAATCCCAACTAATCCTACGAATTAGCATTTGGCATCCGCCATCCTCCAATAAATATCTGATTCAAATACATTCATGTCAAATCCTCAAGGTCAACAACCGGAGTAGCTAATGGAAAGACACAAGGGATTCTCAACTAGAGCATTCCTCCTGATCTTGTCTTGGAAGAGTCAAACTAGTTGGTGACGACGACCTGCGAAAGCCGATGACCTGCTGTTGGTGCCAATGTCCCAACGGTGACATGAGGCCAGCTGAGACCGTTGAAGTCCAAGAAGACAGTCTGACTATACTGAATCTGAGTATACTCGATATTAACAGTTTTAGCAGCTGGGACATTCATATCGACCACGAACCTAGGCACCGCATCTCTCGGGCCTGAAGAAGCGGGGGAGACAAACTTCTTCTTGTCAGTCTTGGTGTCGACGGCAGGAAGATCAATCTTGGTTCGGATCTTGGAAAGCCAATACTGTGCTGTCACTTTGACAGAGTTTGCGTTGGCACTCCGGGCTTGGACAGTAGCTGTGTTTGCTCCACCGTCTGCACCGACGAGAAAGCCGATGTTGCTAGTACCCCCACCGAGATCAGGGTTCTCGGGAAAGGAGGAGACCGCAAACGTGGCATTCTCAACAATCGTTTTGCCCTTGTTGGCGTTGCGCAGAACAGTGTTGGGGTCATTCAAGATATCTTGAGTGATAGTGCCCGCTTTCATGAAGGGTGCAAGATCTTGTGGAAGACGTGGGGTGTTGTTGTTGGAGGCAGTCTGGCTTCTGAAAGCGATCTTGGTGGTTTGACCAACAACGATAGGCGTGATATCGACTGAGGGGATGTTTGGTGTGCCCTTGGTAGTCACAATTGGCTGGAAAGACTGCACATTGATGGAGGTTCCGTGGGGAATGGACGCCATTCGTGAGAGTGAAGCTGGAAGGACGGGCATCTCCTGACTGGCAGGAACATGCATCCAAAGACCAGGCTCAAAATGGATAACAGGCTGCTTCTTCGGCGGGGTTACAAGTTCAGTGATGTCAGCAATGGTCTGAGTATACGGCACACCGTTCAACATCAGATCAGCTTGCGTATCCAAACCGCGATTGGGCACATCAGTGAGACCCTTGCTGAATGCCATAGCCTCGCTAGTGAGATTGAGTTGCAGGATATTATCAGCGGGATCCTCAGATGGAGGAAGAATGGGGAGAGGGGTAGGCGTCTTTGTGCCGTTGGGCCTGAAGATGGTGTTGAAGCCGAAGCCACTGTACGTGCCGTGGAACTTTGCCAGAACCCCCAGTTGTGACAAGGCGACATCGCCACCGGTGGTTTCAACACTGGGAAACCCGTTGAGTTGGATTAAGTCGCTGTTATCTTCTGGTTGGATTGGATCAAGGACGGTTGGACCGAACTTGAAGTCGTCGCCCAGATCCATGGGGACGGCGGGGGCAGTTGGGAGTATCATTATGAATATCTTCTCGATTGGATTTGCTTTTTAGAAAGAGTTTATGAGAACTGAGAGTCTTCTGCTACTGGGTGATGCTTGTTATATATCTCTAGCTTTACTGTCATTGCCGTTAATTGATGGCTGGCGTGGAAACATAGCTTGGCTGACCTCCGTCCATTGACGGCGGTAAAGTCAATAGGCTAGCTGCTTCTCATGCTGACAGCCAGTAATGCACAAGTCATAGTAATACGAGCTACAATTGATCAAAGTAGCTTCGGCATAAAGCTTACCGACCCAGAGCTCTCATCACAGAGTTTACCATCTCCCACCTCAGCTTGCAGCTAACATTCCAGCGCCCCAGGAAAATTACCCGGGCCGAACCTGGCCCCCAATCTCACTAGCTATAAGCTCTTACTATCGTTGTCCACAACTCAAGAGTGGCTGTTATCAGGAATGCTGCGCTTCGTATCTGGCAACGCTGACCCGAGGGCTTGGTCTAGACCGGTACTTACAGCAGCCTGTAGTCCTGAAGGGTCAGAAGTGAAATTCCGTTTTGGCGAAGCTGAACTCTTGTGGCTGCACCTAGTGAAAGTTTACTTCAGCAATCTAAGGGTCTTGGGGGCTTGGGAATGCCGTGCAGTCAGCTATTGTTTTGTTTGAATGGAGTTTGTGTAAGCGGCATGTTTCTGCCGATCAGCCGCATCGCTTGGTAGTCGTCAGAGGGGAAGAAGAATTAACGGCCAAGAATCTAAGAGATGAAATCATCTAGTCACTTTATGCTCACTTAGGCTAGTATTTAGGTCGCTTTTCTATATAGCCTAAGCCTCGGAGGGTGCTTTTGCTTCGACCTACCTGCTGAAATGGCATATAGCTTTGAAGTCAATCTAAACGTATGCGTTTGAGGCTGCAATCAAGCAGCCCCTTTGGCCTGCTAGATAGATGTAAATTAGATATCTCGGCTAGTAAAATTCAAACCCTCCGTGTTTAACCTGCTTGTCGCCCGTGATTTGGACTCACTGCCGCTTCAACCTTAATTACTTCGGATATGATCGCATGGCCTTTCATCATGTCTCATTCCAGAACATCTGCTGTGATGAGCTGTCACATAAATGACTTTATTCCCGCGTGCCCAAGCTGCTCGAGCGCGGAATAAAATGACTGGCGATCGGTGCTATTTGATTTGCCGGCTAAATGTCCGATATCGAATACACTACGCCACCTGTTCGAATGTCTCAGTTGAATGCTGCGTTGATCGACCACCTTCCTAAACAAGCCATTATCGGACCTTTGAGTGTACCATCCAACCTCCAACAAGAAGAGAATGATCACAGGAGCATCTCAAGTCAAAAACAGTCACCTTCTATAGCGACTCTCAACTTTAGCCTCTTGGCGGTCGGCAGTTGTGCCACGCCAAGGTCAAAGAAGTTTTTCTTGTTGTACAGAGATGTTCTAAACTTGAAAGCATAATACTGACTACTTCTTCAGAAAGTTTGTTTCTGTTCGTCGATTAAATAATATTCTACTGACAGATCTGGGCAAGTGCCTTGAGCCGTCATTCGCTATGTGTCCAACAGATCAATCGGGTGCCGCTATCACGCCCCTCCAAATACTACCTTACTCTGCAACTCTCATGCCAACTCCTCTATGTTCACGTCAATGCGTATTTTAGGTTGTATTAATGCCGTCGGTTATCTCGAGCTTATCTAAATGACGAGTTCAATACGACTCAGTTTTGTCTTGACTTCCATCAGACCTGTTTCTTCTGTCTTTAAGATAAAGGTCAATGCGACAATAAATATCAAGTGGTAGCATCACCAGGCGACGTTATGATTATACAGTCTAGCTCCCTTACGCTAATCGACCTATAGTAGGGCGTCGCCGGGGATCGGCATATTAATGAAACACCTTTGCAACGTTGCAAGCCGGCAGCGTCTGACCCAAAACCCGTTCTCAACGCTTGACATCGATCTTGTTTATCCTTATCACCAGTCACTTGAGACCTGGCACTGACCATAATGCTGGCCAATTTTCGGGTTATTGCTACTCGCATTGTCTTTGGAAACCCTGCTGAGGACAGCCAGTGACTCGGCAGTGTGATGGATCTCTCTATCACGACGATGGAAGCGTCGCGATAGCATTCTTCAAAAGTTTTCGGTATATAAAAGGGAAGAAAGACCAGATCTATCTGAAGAAGCCACAATAACCACTATCATATCTACAAATTTAACTTACTACCCAAACAACATTTTATCATCTCAACAGATCAACATTTTCACAATGGTCGCTCGTGAAGATATCCCTTCCAAGGTCCCCGACCTCGTCGTTGCGAAAGTCAACAGTGACAATGAAGTTTCCGAGCAAGCAGCTCCCTATGTCAACGCTGTGTACTTTGTCAACTGGTACGTTACCTCTGCCCACACCCATCGGAGAAGTTCCGCTTACTGTAACTAGGGGTATTTATGGTCGAAACTACCAGCCAATGAACCTTCCCGCTGCTCAGCTGACTCACGTGCTATATGCTTTTATGAATGTGAGAGCTGATGGAACAGTGTAAGTCTTCCCGCACATTAAGCCGTAGTCTTACTCATTCTTTGCAGCTTTACCGGCGACTCGTATGCCGACCTTGAAAAGCACTACACTGGTGACTGTAAGTCTTGTTCCTCTCTCTATTCCCCTATTCAGCACTAACGGCTACCCTCAGCATGGGATGAGCCCGGCCAAAATGCCTACGGATGCGTCAAGCAACTCTTCCTCCTCAAGAAGGCCAACCGCAAGCTCAAGGTCATGCTCTCCATCGGCGGTTGGACATGGTCCACCAATTTCCCTGCCGCCGCCAGCACAGCCGCGTCCCGAACGACCTTCGCCCAGAGCGCTGTTACCCTGATGAAGGATTGGGGCTTTGATGGTATCGACGTCGACTGGGAATACCCTGCCAACGATGCTGAGGCGAATAACATGGTTCTTTTGCTCCAGGCTGTGCGCAAGGAGCTCGATGCTTACTCGAAGCAATATGCAAACGGATATCACTTCCAGCTGTCCATTGCTGCGCCTGCTGGACCGGAGAACTATGGCAAGCTTAAGATGAAGGAGCTTGGCTCTGTCCTTGACCATATTAACTTGATGGCCTATGACTACGCCGGCGCTTGGAGTGCTTTCTCTGGTCATCAAGCTAACAAATACGCCAACGCCAAGATTCCCAACGCCACGCCTTTCAATACTGACCAAGCCGTCAAGGCCTACGTTGGCGGTGGCGTGCCTTCTGGAAAGATGGTTCTCGGCATGCCCATCTACGGTCGCGCATTCCAAAACACCGCCGGTCTCGGACAGCCTTACACTGGCGTCGGGTCCGGCAGCTGGGAAAACGGCATCTGGGACTACAAGGTCCTCCCCAAGCCTGGGGCCAGCCTTGTTTATGATCGAGATGCCCAGGCTTCTTACAGCTACGACGCCAATACCAAAGAGCTCATCTCATTCGATACGCCCGGTATGGTCGAGAACAAGGTTCTCTATGTGAAGAACAAGTCGCTTGGAGGAAGCATGTTCTGGGAGGCATCTGCTGACAAGACGGGTGCTGACTCTCTTCTTGGCACGAGCGCTAAGAGCCTTGGGTCTTTGGAGAAGAGCAACAACTGCCTTACATACCCGAACTCTCGATATGCGAACATTGCCAAGGGCCTTAACTAGATGACTATGATACATGGGGCGAAGCATACGAAGAGGCATTTGTTTGATGTTTGTACGATATTATACCCTCGCTAGACTACTTTATACACACTCGCTAAACGTACGCTTTCTCAATCATGAAGACCAACGAATTGAATAGCTAAGCATTACTAACAACAGGATTTTCATCCAAGGCTTAGGCCATCAGGATAAAGCTTAGGTAAGTTAAGTTTGCTAAAATAAAGCAACCTCATAAGAGTGGGCCTAAAATGACATAAAATAGCCAAATTATCTCGTCCCTTATGCTCTTTGCAATCACGCGATCGATCAGAAAGGCTTTTGAAGATATTTACAGTTTTAAAAGGGCATCATGACTCCTTTACCTACACATGATCTTTTTTTTTTTTTTTTTTT